AAAAAAAAAAAAAAATAGATGGGCTGGGTGCAGTGGCTCACACTTGTAATCCCAACACTTTTGGGAGGCCGAGGTGGGCGGATCACCTGAGGTCAGGAGTTCGAGATCAGCCTGCCCAAAATGGTGAAACCCCATCTCTACCAAAAATACGAAAATTAGCTGGGCGTGGTGGTGGGCACCTGTAGTCCCAGGTACTCAAGAGGCTGAGGCAGGAGATTGCTTGAACCCAGGAGGCGGAGGTTGCAGTGAGCTGAGACCGTGCCATTGCACTCCAGCCTGGGCAACAAGAGCAAAACTCCGTCTCAACAAAATAAATAAATAAATAAATAAATAAATAGACATACCCCCCCTCCCCTCTGCATCCATTCGCCACCTCCCTGGCACAGCCTCCTGCTCTGATTGCTCTCCTTCCCTCCCAGGCCCTGCCCCCACCGGCCTTCCAGCGTGGCCCAACACAGGGCTACCAGGCATACAGTAGGTGCTCAATAAAGTCCACTTATCTAATATCGTATTATTACCATTACTCTTATTTCTGCCAGAGGAACTCTTCTAGGGGAGAGATGAACCTCTGTGAAGCTCTAAGAACCCCACAGCTCCACTAAGTTTCTGGGCACTGCAGATAGTCGGCGCTCACCATAAGCCGGTACGGCAGCGGGCAGCGGGCAAACGAAGGGAAAGTGTGATCTGGCTGCATGGGGGAGCCTGCTGTAGAAGGAACAGATGTCTTTAAGTAGGACCGAGGCTTTGAGGCCATGCCAGGGATAAGAACACTGTTAGTTCATCAAAGTAGGGCTCCTTCTCAGGGTCATTTAAGGTTTTTGTTGGTTCGGTAAAGCGGACCCTTGTCTAACATTTGGGAGTCCTGTGAAATCTGTTAAAAGTCACTTTGGGGGTTCTCATCAGTTCTAAGGAGACCTTTGATTAAAACGGGTCACTGCTCGGCAGCATCTAAGGGAGGAGGGAGGGACACAGTGAAGCAGTTAACAGCAAAAGCTTTCTCAGCCCTGCCACTTACTAGCTGCGTGGCTAAACAAGTTCCTAAACCTCACTGCCTCTCAGCTTCCTCAGGGGCAGAATAACGCCTAACTCACTGGACTATTGACACGATTGAATTAATTACCACAGGCAAAGCACTTAAGACAATGTTTGACACATAGTAACTGCTCGATACATATTTGTGGAAGGAATTAATGATTTCTTCTCCGTGAAAGCCAAGTCCCACTTGCTGGGCTGCATATGGGATTCCAATCTGTCCTTTCATGCAGGCTCCCCATGGAGTAACTCTTTCCAGTCGCTTCCTTTCCTCAAAGCAGCCCCTGGGCAGCAAAGTCCTAGTCCCCTGCCCCTGGGCCACCCCCCTCTTTCTCTCCCACTGCTAAGATGCCCCCTCCGTGAAAGAGCCGGCCTGGCAGCTCCCTCTTCCTTGACCTCTCCGGGAGGCCAAGGGGAGGACACCTTTACACTCAGTGGGGTGCCGGGTGGGAGCGGCAGGCCGACACCCTACTTCGGGAAGATCCTGGAGAGTTCAGAGGCTGGCTCCTGTCCCCCAAACCCCTGGCCCTGCTGGAGGAAGCAAGTTCCTTTGCTAAAAGTTAAACATCCTCTTCGTGAGCGGCAAGAAAACAGGACGTGGGAAGCGTCCCACAGGGTGAACATAGGCCCCCAATGCCTGGCACCCCCTCCTTTCTTGTGGAGCGGAGGCCTGGTGGCTCAAACCCTTCCTTTCTCACACTTGCTCACCTCTGCAGGGGAGTCCTGTTCCCACAGTCCCCACAATGCCCTTGACTTCTGCTGACAAAGCTCTGACTTCTTCCCTGATTCTCAGAGTCTGTACGCCTCTACCCAGGGCTCCGTGAAAATGCAGGACGCACCACTGGGGTAAAAATGAAGGAACGAAGCAACAAAAGGATGAATTCAACCAACATTTATTGAACATCAACTGTGCACCACCCCTGTTCCAAGCACTGGGAGGCAGCAGTGAACATGACAGAACAGGAATCCCTGTCTGGTGAAGCTCGTGTGCTAAGGAATCAATCATTCCGTTCTTTATTTTTCTTTTCTTGAAACAGGGTCTCACTCTGTTGCCCAGGCTGGAGTGCAGTGGCATGATCAGCTCATTGAAACATCAAATTCCAGCCGGGCGCGGTGGCTCACGCTTGTTAATCCCAGCACTTTGGGAGGCCGAGGCGGGTGGATCACGAGGTCAAGAGATCGAGACCATCCTGGTCAACATGGTGAAACCCCGACTCTACTAAAAATACAAAAAATTAGCTGGGCATGGTGGCGCATGCCTGTGATCCCAGCTACTCAGGAGGCTGAGGCAGGAGAATTGCCTGAACCCAGGAGGCGGAGGTTGCGGTGAGCCAAGATCGCGCCATTGCACTCCAGCCTGGGTAACAAGGGCGAAACTCCATCTCAAAAAAAAAAAGAAACATCAAATTCCTGTGCTCAAGCAATCCTCCTGCCTTAACCTCTCAAATAACTGGGACTATAGACGAATATCACCATGCCCAGCTAATTTTTAAATTATTTCTTGTAGAGATGAGGTCTCACTACGTTGGCCAGGCTGGTCATGAATGCCTGGCCTCAAGCAATCCTACTGCCTTGGCCTCCCAAAGTGCTAGGATGACAGGCGTGAGTCACAGTGTCCAGATTTTTTTGTTGTTGTTGTTTGCTTGTTTGTTTGTTTTTTGAGACAGGGTCTCACTCTGTTGCCCAAGCTGGAATACAGTAGCACGATGTCAGCTCACTGCCATCTCTACCTCCCGGGTTCAAGCGATCCTCCCACCTTGGCTTCCTGAGTAGCTGGGACTAGAAGTGTGAACCACCATGCCCAGCTAATTTTTGTATTTTTAGTGGAGACAGGGTTTCACTGTGTTGGCCGGGCTGGTCTCCAACTCCTAACCTCAACTGATCCACCCGCCTCTCACCTCCCAAAGTTCTGGGATTACAAGCGTGAGCCACTTCACCTGGCCCTTTTATTTTTTAAAGAGACATGTGTTCTCGCCAAGTTGCCCAGGCTGGATTCGAACCCCTGGGCTCCAGGGATCCTCCTGATTCAGCCTCTGGAGTAGCTGGGACTAAAGGTGCATGCCACAGTCCCTTGCTAATACTCATATGCATGTTGTCAGCATTAAAATGAACAAAGGGAAGGACATGCTGGAGCCAACTTGTGCAAGTTGGGAGGAGCTATTCAATTTTCAGGAATTTTGCAAACTGGTTGTTAAACAGCTGGTTTAAGAACTGGTTTTGTTTGTTGAGACAGGGTCTCACTCTGTCACCCACACTGGAGTGCAGTGGCATAATCAAGGCTCACTGCAGCCTTGACCTTCCAGGCTCATGCAATCCTCCCATCTCAGCCTCCCAAGTAGCTGGAACTACTCACACACACCACCACGCCCGGCTATTTTTATTTTTTGTGTAGATGCGGATCTCTTCATATTGCCCAGGCTGGTCTTGAACTCCTGGACTCAAGCGATCCTTCCGCCTCAGCCTCCTAAAGTTAAACAGCTATGGTTAAAAAAGTAATTATGTGGCCAGGTGCAGTGGCTCATGCCTGTAATCCCAGCACTTTGGGAAGCTGAGGCAGGTGGATCACCTGAGGTCAGGAGTTCGAGACCAGCCTGGCCAACATGGTGAAACCCCCGCCTCTACTGAAAATACAAAAATTAGCCAGACGTAGTGACTGGCGCCTGTAATTCCAGCTATTCAGGAGACTGAGGCAGGGGAATCATTTGAACCTGGGAGGCAGATGTTGCAGTGAGCTGAGATGGCACCATTGCACTTCAGCCTGGGGGACAAGAGCGAGGCTTCATCTCAAAAAAAAGAAATTATATAAACTTACTCAAAATTTGTCACTTCCTAATTATTTTACCCCATTCCACTATTCTCTATGTTCTTGAGGTTATTTAGCTCCATTTTATTTGTATGGTAAAAATAATACATGATAGTGCACTAAAGCATCTCTTTTAAATTCCCTGTTCAGTGACCACAGGTCGGTACCTTGAAATCTAACAAGAAGATTGTACCTAAGCCACGGAAATTGGGAAATGCTAGAAACCAGTCTCCCTTCCCCCCGCCCCTCCCCCCCCAGCCAGTGGTTAACCATTTACCAGCACACCACTGAGGGCATTTAGAGCGTAGTACATGATAAACGCTATGATAAACGTTTTCATTATATGTCCGTTTGTCCACTGGGTCAGGATGTATAGTCTTTTTTTGTGTCTGGGTTGTAATTTAAAATGTTTGAAGATGACAGAATTACAAAAGGTCAGAGAGTGGCTAAGCTACACCTATTTAACCTCCAAGTAATGCTGTGAAGTCTGTACTACTGATTATCCCCATTTTCCAGACAGGGAAACTGAAGTGCTGAAGCGGTAAAACTCAGGCAGCGCCATCCACTAGCTGTAGTGCGATCTGAAATTGCAGCAGAGCAGCCTCCGGGCACTAGTCACTTCAAGAACACATTTTCCTTGCTGTCACGTTTATGCCCCCAGCGGTAATTTAGCTTCCCGGCATGCGAAAAATGAATGGGCGCCATCGTGCGCGTGGCATCTTGGGAAATGTAGTTTACGGGCTCAATGACAAGCAAGATCCAAGAAGGGAGGGGCGGGGAAGCAAATCGATCTTGGCCTCGGAATAAAAAGAACAAAGAATCGCTGACAGCTTGCGCGTCGCGGCGCTGCAGCCACGCAGAGCGTGGATTTAGCCGCTTTGGCCATGCCCGTTGCATGCCGGGAAATGCAGTTCGCGAGCCCTGGTTACGTCGACAGAAGACTACCGGACTCACGTTGTACGTTGAGATCAGGTCCCACACGCCGGAGCCTGGGCGGTCCACGATGCCGAGTCTGCCACGCTGCCAGAGCCCATAGGCTTGCCCGCCGGACATTCGAGTGGACTAGGAACACAAACTGAAGCCCTACGACTTGTCGCCCGTTTGCGCTCTCGCAGAGGCATAGGCTGCTCGAGGACCACCCTGATCCAAAAACTAAGGTGGGCCCTGGGGTGCGGAGGGCACGGATGCGGGCGGAGGCTGCTGAGGCACTGTCCCACCGGTGGGGGAAGGAGGGAGGTCCGGCGGCTGGCACCTGGTGGGTTCTAGACCCAAGGTTTGTCTGCAGAAAGGGACCAGTAGGCGGGATGGGTTCAAGGTGGGGACATGGGATGCAGCGGTCAGAGCTGCCTGGAGGGGGACCTAGTGGTCCCGATGGAGCTGTGGTCTTTGAGGTACTGACGAGGAGGGACGGGGAGTGTGATCAGAAGTCTGTTTAATGGGAGGTTGAGTGGAGCGCAAGTGTCCCGTGTTACTGAGGAATCAATGGGGGCGAATAAGAGTATTTTAGTCGAAGTGTTCATTGATTGATTAATGAGAGAGTGGCAGAGTAAGCAACTAGAATACAACGAGTGGTGGATGGGAAAGTGATCCCCGATGGATTGATGGAGGTATGATATTCAACGGGTTAATGGACAGTGATGGGGCATAGTAATGGCAAGGATCATGGTGAGGCTGTCGGGGGAATCAGCCGATGGAGATCATGATCAAGGGGCCGTGGTGAAAGAAGAGATAATGAGAGGCTGATGGTGTTGTAGTCAGAGTCAGTAGTTGGGCTATGGTGGCATGACCGTCGAGGAATTAATGGGGACAGAATGAGCAAAGAGAGGTAGTAAACTAGGGTTTTGAGGGGATTTAACTTTTGTGGGTACATAGTAGGTGAATAGCAAACTGTTGGAGTGTGATCATCCAGTGATGGATCCATGGAGAGCGGGGTAGACAGTGCGGGGGAAATGGGGAACTGATGAGTGATTATCAGGGAGCAATGTGTTTGTTAATGAAAGGGTTACAGGGCAGGGGACTAGTGCTGTGATCTATGAAGGGTCTATTGGAGAAAACTAAGTTAATGGGGGCTGATAAATCAGTAATTGAGTGCTCAATGGGGAGCTAATAGCCATGATTCTCCAGGTGTTAATAGAGGTTCATAAGGATGTAGTAATAATGGGACCGTTTAAGGGATTAACGGGGAATGGGGTAGAATGAGAGAGATATAGGGAGTGGGAGGTACAATGAGGTTGTATTAGGATAATGGTGCAAAGCAAGGGATTCATGGGAGGCTAATAAGACTATATGAATCTAGGGACAATGGAGACAACTGGGGAGACAGGCAGTGAGATGTTAATGGGCATGACATGGGCAGAGACGGGTTGACACTGACAGTTGCAGGGTTTAATGTGTGGAGTGTGGGTGACAGTGATCGGAGGTGGACAGGTTCACAAGTGGGCCATCTATGGGATGAATGCTGGGTTTACGGGATCTTTTGTGGGAACTGTGGGGTAAGTGATGGGGGCAGAGAGTCTCTGTGATAAGCAATGGAGCCTGAGAGTTCAGTGATAGGGTCCTTTGGTCCCTATAAGGTCAGTGGGGTCAGTGCCAGGGCTTTGGTCAGCCCCTCTTCTGTGTGAGCTGTCATGTGGGTCAGATGAGCCCAGTTCAGTTTGTGTGGTTCTCTCCACCCTACCGAGATAGGTGGTCGCCCAGTCATCTGGTTACCGATACTGGGAGGCATCAGCTGACTGTCCACAGGTCCTTGGGCAACTGGAGTGTGAGATGGGACGGACGTCGAAGGACAAGCGGGATGTCTACTACCGCCTGGCCAAGGAGAATGGCTGGCGTGCCCGCAGCGCCTTCAAACTGCTACAACTGGACAAGGAATTCCATCTCTTTCAAGGTCCCTGACTGGCGGGCAGGTCACTGGGTGGTGAGGTGGGCACAGGAGATAGACAAGTCAGCTGGGTCTGCAGAGCTCCCTATGGTAGGTGGGCTGGCTCAGAGGGTCTCTGGGGCAGGGAGACAGGCAGGAAGATAGGCAGAATACCGGAGAGGAGTTGGGCACCTGGCTAGTGGAGAGATGTGGGTGCTCCCCAGGGGAGAGGGGTGAACTTTGCAGGGATCTCCAAGGTTGGAGAAGTGGGTGCAGCTGACCAGGATGCTTTCACTATGTGTGCCCAGGCGTGACACGGGCAGTTGACCTGTGTGCAGCCCCGGGCAGCTGGAGCCAGGTGCTGAGCCAGAAGATTGGGTAAGTGTGGGGGACCCAGATGGGAGACCCAGGAAGGCCAGCTGGGTGGGAGGGGCCAGGGAGTAAAACTAGGCTGACATGGGTCGTGTTGTCCACAGGGGCCAAGGGTCCGGCCATGTGGTGGCTGTGGACCTGCAGGCTATGGCTCCACTACCAGGTGTAGTACAGATCCAGGGCGACATCACTCAGGTAAGAGCATGGCTGAGGGTGCTGGGGTATATCCTGGGTGAAGGCCCTTATGTGGGGTCTATGTAGAGTCGAAGAGAAACAGAGAGAGAAACAAAACAAGAGAGTAACCAAGGAGAAACAGCCAGCAGGTCATCACTGCAGAGACACAGCAGAAAATGATGGTGCTGGGTCCCCAGAGATGGAGCCCAGTCTTAGACAGGCAAAGCCTGGGAATTTGGCTAACCCAGGGTCTGTGGGCCAGGACCATGGGCAGGTGGGATCTGAGGGCAGCAGTGGAGGGCCATGGGACCACTCATCCTCCCTCTCTCCATAGCTGTCCACTGCCAAGGAGATCATCCAGCACTTTAAGGGCTGCCCTGCGGACCTCGTGGTGTGTGACGGGGCTCCTGATGGTAAATAGCAACAGAAAGTGGGAGGCCAGGCGGGGTCCCTGTGTGTTTCCTTCTCTGGATTTCCCACCTTGGTTGACTTCACCTCTTCAATTACTCCCTGCCTCTCCCTTCTGCTGTCAGCTTTCTCCCACATCTGGCAACTTCTCCTTACCTTTGTTCCTGCTCTCTCTCTCTGCCTCTCTCTTCCTCCCACTCACACCCCACCCTTTGAGTTTCATGTCTGTTGCCTGCCTTTCCCTGCTCTCATCTCTCTGCAACTGTCCAATTCTGTTGCACTGTTCATTCATTTTCAGCCAGCCATCCATTCAACATACATTTACTGAGCACCATCCATTCAACATACATTTACTGTTGTGTCGGGAAAACATTCATGAATAAAATTCCATTAATCTTTAACCTCATAGAGCTGATGTTCTAGTGGGAGCAAATGGGAAAGTAAATAAATGACTGAGTTTTGTACCATTTAAAGGGGATAGGGCCAGGTTTGGTGGCTTACACCCATAATCCCAGTGCTTTGGGAGGATGAGATGAGAAGAACACTTCAGGCTAGGAGTTTGAGACCAGCCTGGGCAACATAGCAAGACCCTGGCTTCAAAAATTAGCTGGGCATAGTGGTGCATGCCCATAGTCCCAGCTACTCAGGAGGCTGAGGCAGGAGGATCACTTGAGCCCAAGAAGTCAAGGTTACAGCACGCTATGATCGCACCACTACAACTCCAGCCTAGGCAACAGAGACCCTGTCTCTAAAAAAAGGCAGTGGGAGATAGGTACCATAGGGAAATCATTGAGCAGGAGGAAGGCGAAAGTACCTGTTAGAATTTTAAATGAAGTGGATGGGGAAGGCCCCATTGACTTGACAGCAGAGACTAAAGGAGGTGGAGAAGTAGCTATGGATATGTCTGGAGGAAGAGCAATCCAGGCAAAATTCCAGCCCGTGCAAAGGCCCTGAGGCAGGAGGGTGTTTGCTAGGTATGAGTAAAGGCAAGGAGATCACTGTGGTTGGAACAGAGTGAGGGAGAGAGTGGTAAGAGGTGACATCAGAAAGGTGACAGGGGACAGGTCCTCTTGGGCCTCATGGGCCAGGGCGAGGATGTTGGCGTTTTCACCGAGATGACAGCTTGGAGAAAACCATGAGAGGGTTGTGAGCAGAAGAGGACTATGCCAGGCTTGGGTTACTGTGAGCTGTCTGAGGGCCAAGGGCAGAAGCAGGGGCTCCAAGGTGGAGTAGTCCAGGCAAGTGAGAATGGTGGGGCAGTGGTGGAGAGGAGAAGAAGGTCAAGTCAGATCTTTTGAAAGTAGACGTGTTGATGGCTTGAATGTGGGTGTGAGGAGAAGATGCGGGAAGGAGCATCAGAGATGACTAAGGTTTTAGACCTGAGTAACTAGAAGGCTCAGATGAGATGTGGGGGTGGTGGTGGGAGGTGCAGGTTTGGGGAGGAAGGTCAGGAATTTGATTGCGGACACGTTAGAGATGTGGAATGTGACTTGTGAATCGAGTTCAGAGGAGCAGTCTGGGCTAGAGGTGGAAATGCTAATGATGCTCGTATGTGACGTTGTTTTAGAATTCAAATGAGTTATAAGGTTAGGAGCTCAGAATATGTATTCAGTTGGCAGATAGTAATTTGCATCCAGAACCTTAGCAGTAAGAGAGCCTGGAAAATGTTTTTAGTTTCTGAGCTGTGTGGTACAAGAAGCTGCCCAGAGCCGGACGGGCCTCCCTAACGCTGTTCCTCTTGCCACAGTAACCGGCCTCCATGATGTTGACGAGTATATGCAGGCCCAGCTCCTCCTCGCTGTGAGTAACCCTGGCCACCCCCGACCCACTGGCCCTCTCCTGGCTGTCTCCACCTCAGCCTCAGTTGTCTGTCCTACCCACAGGCTCTGAACATCGCTACACATGTCCTGAAGCCAGGGGGCTGCTTTGTGGCCAAGGTCAGTCTCAAGGAACCTGGTGGAGTAGAGAGAGGTTGCTGAGGGCCACCTTCACCCGCTCTCTTTGCCTTCCCACCCTGCAGATATTCCGAGGCCGGGATGTGACGCTCCTCTACAGCCAGCTGCGGGTCTTCTTCTCCAGCGTGCTGTGCGCCAAGCCCAGGAGCAGCCGGAACTCCAGCATCGGTCAGTAGGGTGGAGGGGCCAGGCAGGCAGAGGGGCGTCTCTGGGATGCTGCCTGCACGAGAAGGAAGCGGAAGTCACACGTCACTCTGTATTCCCCCGGCAGAGGCCTTCGCCGTCTGTCAGGGCTATGACCCTCCCGAGGGCTTCATGCCGGACCTGAGCAAACCCCTGCTGGACCACTCTTACGGTGAGAGCTGGAGAGCACGGGCCACCCCCAGGGGACTCTGCCCCACCTTATGCAATCGAGGGCCCACGAGGGCCCACAGCCTCACCTGCTGGTGGAGGCTCTATTCCCCCCATGGGGATTTTTTTCCCAAGGAGATCCTCAGCCCCATTTTCTGGTAGAAATTCTACCCTTTATGGGTATTTTGTCCCGGGGTGAGCTGCAGCCCAGGCAGTCCTGTAGTGGTGACTCTTGGGCCTGGTGAAAGTTCCATCCCAGGAGGATCCCGAGCCCTGCCCCAGTGGAGTCTCCACCTACCTAAGGACACTGTCTCCTAGGAAGATCTCAGTCATGCCCCCAGGTGTAAGCCTCCTCCATGTGAAACTTTTGTCCCTTCAGCCTCTAGTGGGAAGAGATAGAGAGCCTGCCCCTGGGATGACATTTGAGTGAGGGAGACATCCACGCACATGTAATCCAATGTCAGGTGGACATAAGTGCAGTGAAAAAGAGCAGGGCACCGACGTTTTGGAAGGGGTGATCCAAACCAAATGAGGGATTTACGGTGCGGTGGGAAGAGAGTAGCTGGTGGATGTGTAGGGAAGCCTTGGCACCCATGCCGCTGCCTGTGTCATGACTGGCCCCAGGCGTCCTGACCTTGTTCTCAGTTGTCTCCCCCGTTCCTAAGACTCAGATTTCAACCAGCTTGATGGTCCCACCCGCATCATTGTGCCTTTTGTGACGTGTGGGGACCTGAGCTCCTATGACTCAGACCGCAGTTACCCACTGGACGTGAGTGCCCAACCAACAGTAGGTGGGTGGGAGGAAGGGCTGTCCTAGGTCCCCGGGTCCTCACTGTCTCCCTACCCCTCTGTCCCTGCAGCTAGAGGACGGCTCAGAGTACAAGTATACTCCACCTACACAGCCCCCCATCTCACCGCCATACCAGGAGGCCTGCACGTTGAAGAAGAAGGGGCAGCTGGCCAAGGAGATCCGCCCCCAGGACTGCCCCAGCAGCAGAGTGGACACATTTCCCCAGCCCCTGGCCGCCCCTCAGTGCCACACCCTGCTGGCCCCTGAGGTCTGGAAATGTGACTCTGAGCCTGCATTGACCCCTTCCCCATTTGCCTCTTTCTGACCCAAACCTCATGGTTTCTGGGGCCAAAATTCTCTTTCCTGTCTCCCAATAGCTATAAAAAATTGGTAAAAACCAAGCATAATGAATGGAAAAGTTTCACCAAACATGTGAGTCACTTTTCTTTTTCTTGGGTAGATGGAAGACAATGAAATGAGTTGTTCACCTTAACCCATTACAGTAAGTTTGCCTTGTTATCTAAGGGTTTGATTAAGGGCCACTTTTATGAAAAACCTCAGTAAAATTTCACCTTTGAAATTTTTGTGTCAACTGATAAGATTTTAAACAACAAGCCGTTTTCTAAATATCTGTTGTTATTTGCTAGGAACTGCTTTAAGCATTTTACATTTGAGGCATTCAGTAAACATTTATTGAGCACATACTGTGTGCCAGGCATTGTTCTAGGTTTGGAGATAGAGCAGGGAGCAAAACAAACATCTTGGCTCTCACAGAGCTTCCAGTTTGGGAAAGAGGCAACAATCAATAAAATAGTCCCTGAGTGCAAGAGTCTACATATATGCACACACACACTATATAGCTTGCATTTCTCCATTTACACACCTTGCAATATATGTAACATGGAAGAGTAATATGGAATATAAAAAATAGAGAAAAGTAAATCAGGGTGAAGAGAATCAGAAATTCTAGGCATGGCCGTTTTCATCTTTTGGTGTTTTTTTTTGTTTTTTGTTTTTTTAGAAACAAGGTCTCAGTCTGTCACCCAGGAGTTCAGTGGTGCCATCTTCTGGGTTCAAACAATCCTCCTACCTCAGCTTCCCAAGTAGCTTGGACTACAGGCATGCACCACCATGCCCAGCAAATTTTTGTATTTTGTGGGGAGATAGAGTTTCACCATGTTTCCCAGGCTCATCTTGATCTACTGGGCTCAAGCAGTCTGCCCTCCTCGGCCTCCTAAAGTACCAGGATTATAGGCATGAGCTGTTGTGCCCAGTCAGTTTGCACTTTTCAAAAAGGATTGTCATAGAAGACCTCAGACATTCCTTAGAGTGTAATGTTTGAGCAAAGACCTGAAGGCACTGCTGGAGGGAAGCTGTATATTTATCGGAGGGAAGAGCATTCTGGGTAAAGGAAATAGCCAAGTCCCAAAGGTGGAACTGCACGTGGTATAGGAGGAAAGTTTATCCATAGCCACATGTGCTAAAACTGCGATGTTAGAAGATGGTCCTTTCTGACAATGACATAGCAGGACATTCAGACTAAGTCTGCCATCACAAAAAGCCACCTTTTTTCCTTTTTTTTTTTTTTTTTTGGAGACGGAGTTTCACTCTTGTTACCCAGGCTGGAGTGCAATGGCGCAATCTCGGCTCACCGCAACCTCCGCCTCCTGGATTCAGGCAATTCTCCTACCTCAGCCTCTTGAGTAGCTGGGATTACAGGCACGCGCCACCATGCCCAGCTAAGTTTTTTGTATTTTTAGTAGAGATGGGGTTTCACCATGTTGACCAGGATGGTCTCGATCTCTTGACCTCATGATCCACCCACCTCGGCCTCCCAAAGTGCTGGGATTACAGGCTTGAGCCACTGAGCCCAGCCAAAAAAGCCACCTTTTTTTTGAGATGGAGGCTTGCCCTGTCACCCATGCTAGAGTGCAATGACACAGTCTTGGCTCACTGCAACCTCCTTCTGCTGGGTTCAAGTGATTCTCCTGTCTCGGCCTCCTGGGTAGCGGGGATTACAGGTGCCCACCACCATGCATAGATAATTTTTGTATTTTTAGTAGAGACAGGGTTTCGCCATGTTGGCCAGACTGCTCTTGAACTCCTGACCTCGGGTGATCCACCCACCTCGGCCTCCCAAAATTCTGGGATTACAGGTGTGAGCCACTGCGCCTGACCTTTTTTGTTTTGTTTTGTTTTGTTTTGTTTTGAGATAGAGGGAGTCTTGCTGTGTCGCCTAGGCTGGATGGAGTGCAGTGGCACTATCTCAGCTCACTCCAACCTCTGCCTTCCGGGTTCAAGAGATTCTCCTGCCTCCACCTCCCAAGTAGCTGAGATTACAGACATGTGCCACCACCTTACCTGGCTGATTTTTGTGTTTTTAGTAGAGAAGGGGTTTCACCATGTTGGCCAGGCTGGTCTCGAACTCCTGACCTCACAAGATCTGCCTGGCTCAGGCCTCCCAAAGTGTTGGGATTACGGGCGTGAACGACCACACCCAGCCATAAGAAGCCACCTTAAGAGAAATGGAAACAGCAAGTCATTGTGTGAAAAGAGATTTACAATTTCTAATATTTATAGAGTCCCATAAATCAATAAGGAAAAAAATGAGAATGGCCAGTGAGCATATGAAAAGCGCTCATCAGGAAAATGGAAGTGAAAACTCAAAATATTGACAACATTAAGTATTTGGAAGGATATGCAGCAATTGAAAGCCTCATACACACTACTGGGAATGTAAAATGGTGCAGCCACTGTGGAAAACCATTAGGCATTATCTACTAAAGCTGCGTGGGTGCCAGTTCCACTCCTAAGAAATGAATCCTAGAGAGCGGGCATGGTGGCAGCTGCCTGTAATCCCAGCTACTCAGAAGGCTGAGGCAGGAGAATCTCTTGAACTCGGGAGGTGGAGGTTGCAGTGATGTGAGAACACACCACTGCACTCCAGCCTGGGCAACAGAATGAGACTCTGTCTCAAAAAAAAAAAAAAAAAAAAAAAAAAAAAAAAAAAAAAAAAAAAGTCATGTGCGGCGGTTCACGCATGTAATGTAATCCCAGCACTTTGGGGGCTGAGGTGGGTCGATCACCTGAGATCAGGAGTTTGAGACCAGCCTGACCAACACGGTGAAACGCTGTCTCTACTGATAATACAAAATTCCTGGGCGTGGTGGCACATGCCTGTAATACCAGTTACTTGGGAGGCTGAGGCAGGAGAATCGCTTGAACCCAGGAGGTGAAGGTTGCAGTGAGCAAAGATTGTGCCATTGCACTCCAGCCTGGGCAATAAGAATGAAACTTCATCTCAAAAAAAAAAAGAAAGAGCTGAGTCCTAGAGTGTTGCTAGCAGCACTGTCTGTAGTATGCCCTTTCCAGCATGGTATACTCATGGTGAAGAAGTGCACAACAATGACAGTGAACATCCTGCAATTATACCAAGTAACACCTTGTACTTATTCATTCAACTGAACATATATATGCTTTGTGCATTTTCTATATGTTACAGTTCACCATAAAAGTAAGAGGAAATGTCACAGAAATGTTAGCAGCAGAGTTAGCTGGGTGTGGTGGCACATGCCTGCCTGTAATCCCAGCTACTTGGGAGGCTGAGGCAGGAGGATCACTTGAACTTAGGCTGAGGCTGTTGTGAGCTATGATTGGACCACTGCACTCCACCCTGGGTGACAGAGCGAGACCCTGTCTGTAAAAAAAAAGAAACAAAATACTTTTTTTTTTTTTTTTTTTTGAGACAGAGTGTCGCTCTTGTTACCCAGGCTGGAGTGCAATGGCACCATCTCGGCTCACTGCAACCGCCGCCTCCTGGGTTCAAGCAATTCTGCTGCCTCAGCCTCCTGAGTAGCTGGGATTACAGGCACACGCCACCATGCCCAGCTAATTTTTTTGTATTTTTAGTAGAGACGGGGTTTCACCACATTGACCAGGATGGTCTCGATCTCTCGACCTCGTGATCCACCCGCCTCGGCCTCCCAAAGTGCTGGGATTACAGGCTTGAGCCACCGCGCCCGGCCGAAACAAAATACTTTCTTTGACTTTTGGTTAGCTGGCAAGCTGATACAACTCAGAGACTACTCAGTGTCAGGAAAACCAGAACTTGTTGATGAACTTGTTTTCAAAATATCATCTCAACAAGGAGGCCTGGACAAACAAGGTCTGAGGAGGGATCTGCAGCAACCCTGAAGACAACGAGGAAAGAAACCACAGAAGTCTGTCTGTACTGCAGTGGGAATTCTTGGGTGAGGTCTTACCTCTTTAAACATCTTCAGGAGTGTCCTGATTATATCCAGAATTTCCCCTAACGGGAAGGATTCTTAAAGACCTGGATAGAAGCCAGGGGTAACCATGAACTTGATGGAAGAAAATGTTACATCTTCATTTTCAGTAATATAACTGAAATTTGGCCTTACTCCCAAGTTATAATTGCTGGCAACAAATCACAATAGTAAAAACAGTACCTGGGATTTTCCCACCAATACAAACCAGTTACAACTGTAATGTAACATAAAAAGGGCATCTTGAAGTATTGTTCATATTTGTCACCTCTTGGAATGATAGCAGATCTTATAATTTGATGTATTAATTTAAAAGCCCATATATTACTGCATCTCAATTTTGTTTCAATTTAATATATAGTAGTAATTATAATTCAATGTAATTGGCTTCCATTATAATCGTGTGTGTGTGTGTGTGTGTGTGTGTGTGTGTGTGTGTGCCTTTAAAAATATTCTGTGAAGGGATTCACTGATTTAACCAGATGCCTAAGGGTTCCCCAGAACAAATTTATTTATTAATTTTGAGACAGAGTCTCGTTCTGTTACCCAGGCTGGAGTGCAATGGCGTGATCTTGGCTCACTGCAATCTCCACCTCCCGGGTTCAAGTGATTCTCCTGCCTCAGCCTCTTGAGTAGCTGAGATTACAGGCATGCACCATCATGCCCAGCTAATTTTTTTATATTTTTAGTAGAACTGAGGTGTTGCCATATTGGCCAGGCTGGTCTCAAACTCCTTGCCTCAAGTGATCCACCCACCTCAGCCTCTTTTTTCTTTTCTTTTCTTTTCTTTTTTCTTTTTTTTTTTTTGGAGAAAAGGTCTCACTCTTGTCACGCAGGCTGGAGTGCAGTGGTGTGATCTCAACTCACTGCAACCTCTGCCTCCCAGTTTCAAGCAATTCTCCTGTCCTAGCTTCCTGAGTAACTGGGATTACAGGTGCCCGCCACCACGCCCAGCTAATTTTGGTAATTTTAGTGGAGACGGGGTTTCACCATCTGGTCTTGAACTTCTGATTTCAGGTGATCCGCCCGCCTCGGCCTTTTAAAGTGCTGGGATTACAGGCATAAGCCACTGCACCTGGCCTCCAGAACCAATTTTTTTGGTTAAGAACCTGTCTTAAAGAAACATCAGGCCGGGCGCGGTGG